AAAGAAACTCAGATGGCAAGCTTAGGAGTTGCTAACTGTCGACAACAATGACGTAGTACGCAAAAAAAATGACCATGCAAAAAGAAAAAAAATGGAATAAGAGCCTAACAGAATGCTATGTTTCACTTATAAAGTATTAGCTACCACCAATAATTGCAAATACGCAGAAAAACGTATGAACACTATGAAGATAATTGGATGTTTGCATGAGCATAAAAATATGAGCCTTATTTGTAGAGGTCAAATAAAGTAGGAAAACTGACTTTGTCCTCGTCAGCATGAAACGCGTCCTTTCGTTCTTGAGGCGCTCTTCGTCAGTCAACAATGCGGTTATTTGTTTGGCTTTCTCCCGAATATTCAAACCCTTAAAATGTATAGAAATTAACGAATGACAAGATTTACAACGCTGACCTGGTCTCGGTTATCCTCTATATGCTGAAAATCCTTCAAAGTCTCGATAGTGAATATATTTTCGCGACATTGCTGCGAGACCTAGAATAAAACTAATCAAATAATCCTTGCATGGATTGGGAAGGGGAGTCCCAGTTGTAGATACACATAACCAACAACGTTTCATTAAGAAAACAACTGCGAGAAATGTAAGAGTATGCCATTTGGACCCGCACTGACTCGGTTTATCCCTGAGTAGTAATAAGACCTTCAAAAGCCACTAGTATCATCCGTTTCACCAACCGTAAAAACAGATGTTTCATTACAAAAAACAAACACAGATACATTTTAAAAGCCCAGGACTAAACCTGACAAAGAAAGAATGCAAAACTCCCAAATACTGTAAAAATGTGAATATAATTGAAAGAAAATTATTTGAAAAATTATGGCTTGCTTAATACGCTCTTCACAGTGCTTACTGACGCTGATATAACATCACCAAAGAAACAAAACGAACGGTACCACACGATATGCCTAATGACAGGATAATAAGGATCAAAAGAAAGCACAAAAATGAAAGATCATCATGCAATGCGCAAAATAAATCCGTAAAAGTCTGGATTTTTGTGCTTGTGGTCATTTGATGTGTCTTAAATTGGAAAAAAATGGTACCTTATCATTGCCACACTTGATTAAGAAGTCAAGCAACACTAGGCTTTTATACACATGTCGCCAGTTTTTCCCTGAATCGTTCAGCCTCTTCCAAATAATAGACATAACTTCAGTAAAAGCCTGAATACATGAGATATTTGCGTGGATGAAAATTCTGCAGATGAACTCACCATTGGATTATTAGTAAGATCGGAAATTTCAGACATTAGTGCCGTGGACGGACCCCAAGGATCATTGCTGCAACCGAAATTACAGATTAAAAGTGCCTGACAAGTAAAAAGAATGCAACTTACCAAGTAGCTTCTCTAACTTTTACTTGTGCATCGGAAAAGTTATAGGCGACATTTTTTACTTGCCGCCTTATAGTGGAGATAGACATTAGCGTCTGTAAAAGTCAAAACTGGTGAGATGCAGTAAACTGATGGGACCGAAAGAAGACTAAAACAGGACGAGCAGTTACAGCATACAGAATGCAATATTTTTCAATGGGATATGGAACGCGAATGATCGGGATATCTCAACAAAGCAGCTTTCTAAGCAATGGACTAGTGGAACAATCTTATTTGTAGCTATCCCGGAACCGGGAGTAGATGGATCACTGTGAAAAGGACTGGTAAGAAGAAATACCCTTTCTGCGGAATTTAGACTCAATGGGAATATTGGAAACGAGGTGACAAATCAAAGAGAGCGCAGAACATATCAAGGAAGCCAGCGCAAGTATTGATCGAAAATTGCCGCGGTTACTGCGTTCGCAGTGCATGTTATGTCCGGAAGTAAAGTTTGACTTGAAGACAGTCACCAGCTCTCCGAGCTACCGAAATGTCATCTTTGAACAGATGACGAACGTCTTAAGAAAGATAAGACCGAAAAAAAGAGTAAATGAATGATGGGAAGAACGCAGTGTAACCGATCCATAATAAATAAAGAAAATCGAGAAGAAACATTATCAACGCTGATACGAGACCTCAGACATCTACTGGATGACTAAACGATCGTGACGTCACAGCTGGATCCAGACCGTGCCGTTGAACGAAATAGATCGCCTGCACCCTCGGAATGCTATCTAAATCACGCGCAGAAAATTCTTCTTCAGCAGCATAAGGTTCCGTACACTCAGCTAAGAATATCGCTGGGATGGTGTATTTCACTGTTGTGCAGTTGCTATCCAATAGTGCTATAGTAGAGAAACTTCCAAAGGGATCTGAGCATTGCAAATCCTTAAATAACTTCTTCGAACTGAAGGACTGCATTTACGGCTCAACAGCATGTCTTTTCCATTGCTTGGAGTAAACCAGACAAGCTTAAGTTTCACGCCAGTTTACTCGTGTTCTTCGTAATGATAACCCTTAGCATCTTTGTGCGGAGTGGGATGCAATTAATCACTTAGCGTTGGTTTTAGCACCATTTAATATCTCCTTGAACAGACAACAAGTAACCTCGACGAACACTCAAAAGTTTTAATTTTTGGCGAAAATAATGTGCATTTTTGTGGAACTTTGTAAACACATAACTTTGAAATGAAAAATTTCGAAATAAAGAATAAAAAATAA